TACTTATTAATATTAAAATTTTTAATTATTATCTGAATTTTGAATAAATAAACTTCAGATCAGAATTTTGAAGTTCGATCTTAAAAATTATGGTTAGGTGTAATTTTCACTTCTAGTGGTCAGCCTTATCGTCCAGAGTATTGCTCCCATCTGAGCCCAGTAACTGAAATAAAGTAATAACTTCAAGTTTTAAATACTAAATAAAAAAATAAAAAAAGATAGATATAATTTTTTGGAGTCAATCTCATCTCATAAGCAACAAAAGGCTTCAATTAATCCATCATCTAATCATATCATCTGCAAATCCTTTCTTCTCTCCACCTGTCAACTAAACAAGTATAAACCAGAGCGTGCAGCCAGGAAAGCAAGAATAAGCATACATAAATATTTTTTTTCCAGCAAAAATAATCTTCAATCTTATTTTAAATTTACAGAAACGTGTGATGAATGATCACGCAACTCAACATGCACAAATCAAACTATTTCACTGACAATTACCCAAGTCCACTACGACTGCCTATGTTTTTTCGTCCTGATTACTGAACGAGAAGCTGCTCTACAACAATCCAACACAGAGTGAATATAGAAATAAACCAAAGAGCACAAGCAACCCAGAGACATAATGATTCCCAGTATGTCATCTCAGGAACAAAGAATAAACATGGAGCTTCTTCTAGTGAAGAAACTCGGAAACAGCTTGGTGTTTAGGGCTGGGAAGCCCCTTCCTATACAAGGAATATGAACTACCTCAACATAGCGGCACCAACTTTATTCTGAAAACTCATCTCATTTCCTCAGAATTGAATTTGTTCCAAGCTTCCTGTGAAAATTTACGATTTGATGAATAGACGTAGCTTGAGAGGAATGAATGCAACACTTAACATGCAAATTACACATGCATAAAATGCAATGCCATGGAAATGTATTTGTACAAATAGGTCTAATCATTTTGAAAATTTGTTTTGAGATGTTCAGATCTATTGGGATTTATTGGTTTATCATAAGTGTACTTCTTTAGTATTTTTATATTCTTTTGAATATTTTTATTGTTTTGTCTTGAGTCTTGCGCCTTGCCATGTTTTATAAAATTGGATCTAATATATTTCAACTCCGTTCAGATCCTCTATTGGCATAGCAAATGGAATGGTAGATGCATGAATATGAAAATGTTTAAATTTCAACCAAGTGCAACAAAATCATGAACCTCTTGAACAATGAAAGTACCTTCAGAAGATCAAAAACCTTCTCAGCAATGTATTTTTGTTGGATATTGGCTCCTTTCTGTTGAACCTTGTCCGGATGGACACATAAGGTTGCTTTATAATAAACCTTTTTCACTGATGTGGAAGTAATTAAATCAGTCAATGGAACTTGCTGCCAACCACATTCAGGCCACAACACCTGCACATCATCCCATAGACTCGAACAATTAGTTTTTTAAAATGAAGTTGTCCATACTAGTCAGGTGAGCAATCAAATGATTTAACTTGTCTCATTCCTATAGCGTCTCAATTCATTAACAAATCAAAAAGATAATTTTCGAGAATACTAAATTCAGGCACCTATTTATGTATTATAAACATTCAATATACAAAAAGAGATAAAAACAAAAGGCACAAGCTCACTTCTACATAAACCAATTTCTTTTGAAAATAAAGTCAAACTGTTGATTTCAGTATTACAATTTACATCATATTTGATCAGCTGGGGGATGGAATCCTGCTATCCCAAACATGTTTGTTCCTCTGAATTTTGACATTTGTTCCAAAATTCAGACAGCAAACTCACGACACTTCATATCCTGCATTATTATGCCCGGAAGAATGCATGCTGGAAATTTTGGAAGTGGTGGCAGCAATTTCAAGAATGGACTGATTTTGGATTGAGAACGATAGTGGTGCGGATATGATGCGATGGTGTTTTGCTGGACTTGGGGTTTGAGTTCGTGTTAAGGCAGTGATCACTGTGTTGGTGAGGCAGTGATCTCCCTTGTGTGTGGTGGGTGTCAGTGAAAATGGAAAAGAGATGGTTCGGCCATGATTTGGTTTATAACAGAGAAAGAAAAAGGAATTGCATTTTATTTTCCTCCCAGGTGGGGGTGGGGGTCTTCAACCTTCTCTCCTTTTTACGTTTCTGGCTATTCTTCAACTAAATCATTCAATTCAACTCATGCTAGGTCATATATTGACTGACTGAAAATGGGCAGAGTACAAAAGGAATGATGACAACTGGTCTAAGTTTTATGTGCCTTTGAACCATATTTCTTTCTTTCACGTTGAATTAAAAACCTCCCCTTGAATCAGTCTCTTTAAGAAGCTTCAATGTGCCAAAATCATCTTCTTTCTTTGACTGGGCAGAGTTTCTGAGTGATGACCCGCTTATAAATTTAATGAGGGTCTTTTGGAAAATATTGTTCAAAATGTTTTCATTTTGGGTAAGCCACCATTTAGTTTAGAACATCAAGATAATGAAAGAACCACTCAATCTGAAAATGGAGGAGGAGGAGGAGGAGGGAAGGGAAGAAAAATTGTGTAATAAAAGAAAAATAGAAAAACGTTACATAGTACTATTAACTCTGCAACATAGAAGACAGAAAGAAAGGGGTTGAATGGTTAACAAAAAAACCTGCTGCAACGACGACAACAGAGCTCGCAAGTTTCCTTCTTTTCCTGCAGCCCAACACTTTATATCATTGTTCATAGTTTCAGCAAGCATCTGTAACATAAAGTTCAGTTACAAAGGGAAAGAATGACTAAATTCCAAATTTTGAAGTTGAGTGTCTTTACTATACACATTTGCTCACGATTCGGAGCACCGGTGATGAAACTCTGCTAGTGTGTGTGTGTGTGTGAGAGAGAGAGAGAGAGAGAGAGCAATAAGAAGATACAGACCACCAAAAATAAATAAATACAGTTCGAAAACTTGTCACTGCCCCATAAACTGAAACTGTATAAAACGTACACATGCAAGCACACGTAGAAGAGATGTAAGTGCCGTAGAAATCAATAAAAAGCATTTTTCCAGGTATCTTACATGTCTTTCCTCCTGCTCACGTTGTACCTGAAGATCACGTTGATTCTTATCAGCCAATGCTTTAGCCTGAAAAAAAGAAATAATTGAGAATTTTTAAAACCACTAAAGAAGGGTATCAGTCTAACCATAAATGACGTTAAAGCATTTTCACGTGATCAAACTAAGTTAGAGTAGCTTTATATTTGTTTCATTAGAGCCAATGCACAGGCTAAAGTAATGAAGGCCCTGAGTGCAATGCGTTCTCAAATCCTAGAAGGAACGGGATAAGAAATGGAGGAAATGGCAGGGATCGCTTTTCTTCCAATCAGCATAGATGATAATATATAATATTTCAAAGCAAAACTTGTGATTTAATTGCCATCTTGGCATATACATTGGAAGCCTGACTTACTCTGGCACTATTTACCGAAGTTACTTTAGTACAAGTTACATAACCTCCCCACAAATGACAGCTAACAAGGATTATTGACTCCATTATTCTTTTTTTTATGCTCTCTCTGCCATTTCATTGATTTTCGTATCTCAAGCATAAATTTGAGAGGCAAAAAATATGGTTATCATCTCAAAACAATAAAAAGTAACAATCATAATCCGAAAGCAATCAGATTAACTAAGTGAATGTTGAGTTCTGATACCATACCATACGAGCTTGGGTCCTCATATGATGATTTAGTCTTGCTCTTCGTCGTTCCTCACTTTCCCCTTCTTTTTCCTCAAATTCTCCAGATGAAGTGTCATCTAAACACAAATTACAAATGGAAATTAATCATAGAGACTTAAAACACTAGCCTCACCAAACATTCTATACGAGCAACAGATATATAGTTGATCCTCTGGGTATAAATCATTGTGGACGACAAGCAAGAAAACCGTTCGTTCTGATAAAAGATGTTTCACATAAATCTCTGCCTAAAAAGTTCATCATATGACTTGCGTTGTTTAAAAAAACCATTTGAGGCTTACGCCTTGAATCCCCCAAGGTGACTAAGGTGGTCTCCAGTTTGTTTTGTGCTTTCCAGGATTATATTACTGACCTTAGCTCTTCGGGCTGTCTCTTTACAACCTACAATGCTTTACAGGTTCTTTCATTTTCCTTTTCTGCTTATATGGAAAAAGGAAGGAGAACACAACATTGCAAATGGAGGATCATGACTAAGTATGAGAAGACACAAATAGCAATGACGAGGAAGATTTTGACAATTCCATTAAAGATTCTATTAGTAGTGATGATATGAGAGATTTCCAAGCCGTTTCTACTTCTATTAGTATATTATAAAGTTGTTACTTGATTACTAATTTAAGAAATTAATTTTCTACTTTATTGACCTTTTTTATGTTTGTTTACAAGTTAGACTATTAATTTTGTTAATATATTTTATTATGAATAATTTATGGATCATTATGAGCATGTTTTTATATTTTTATATTCTTTTGAAATATTATATTGGTTTTTATGCCTTGCCCCACAGAGGTGAAATGTCTCGTTACCCGATTAAGCATTTTTAAACATTGTCTACTTGTGTAGAGTACAAAACCTCACTCTAATTTTATCCTTAAAGTGAAAAAATAAATTATAATCTAGCCTCTTTAACCTTTAATCAAAAGCTCTGTATCTATATCTTGTTTTGACAATTTTGGACCCTATAACACTAGAGGATTATAATACATATTATTCTACGTATAGATCATTAAGCACGGGAGAGAGAGAGAGAGAGAGAGAGAGAGGTGTTGTCCTCCAAAAGCCTGAATAGTCCATTTAACTAGCAAAAAGATATGACGCGGTAGAAATTCCTTTAATTTTCGTACTGCATCTTCAACAGATGTTAATTCGCTTATAAACATTTAAAGCATGTCCTAAACACTACATAAACGAAAATTTCATGTTTGATCATTATATCCTACACTAGAACTTTTGCAAAACAAAAGAAATCTCGGGTAGGTGAATATGTAAAAGCATGGAATCATTACTAAGCTATTAGTAACCTATGGAGTACATAAGAGCATTGATATTAAGCAATTCTACAGTGAAGGTTGATTTAGCTGATGAGAGTACCTCCAAAAAGTGAAGAGAAGTCATCAAAATTATTTGTCATTGAAGATGCCTTCTTTGTGCTAACTGACGATAAAGAAGTACTCTTAACCTCAGACTCCCTTTTCTCATGGAATAGCGTATCAAACAGGGAGTCCTGGAATCAACCAAAAAATGAAGGAAAAAAGATAATTAAGAATGAGTTTCATGAAGTCAGTACACCACAAAACTATTTGAAGATTTAGTTTTCTACCTCAGTTGGAGAACTTCGCCTTGCCATATGGTTTGACTGTACACTTCCACCAAAAAACTTATTGAAATCATCTTCATTCTCAAATCCTTTATTCTTCAATTCATTGGCCCGTTGCGCAAGCTCTTCATTTGTGCTTCGACTTTTGTGAAGTGTCTCCTGTTTTCCTTTGAGTTCTCTCGCATTTGGATCTACATTCCTTTTTCCTAGGGAAATTTTTATATTTTCAATTCTCTCCGAATATGGTCTATCATTTGCAGTCCTCACATGTTTCAGTTTCCCTGTTCTATCAGTATTTGCATCATTCTGGACTCTACCCATGGCAAAATCTTCAAGTTCATCAATTGAAGATTGAACTGAGCCACTTCCTGCATTTTGTTCCACAGAACCAGCAAATGGCCAAGAAGCATCTCCCTGGGATACAGAGGATTCAAAAAATAAAAAAGGATCATCCACCAACTTGGAATCTGAGTTTGATGAATGGCCACTTGACTGCTTTGTGTCGGAGTGCACTCTGTGTAAAGGTTAATTTACAAGAATGGTCATCTTTATCAGAAAATTAAAAGAGAAACGAATGTACAGTAAGATAACAATTTGTATAGTTGTTCAACATAAAAGAGAACAAGTGAGTTATTTCAGGCATTTTAGGTACAAAACCGCTGAATCACTTGATGTCAACAAAACACACATGATTGATGTATATGTACTAAGTTTGCAAGCTACAGATACAATTATTGAAAATCAAATTTTGTTTTCTGCCTTTGAGCCATAAATTAAAAAGTTCTCGGCGCTTAGATTCACCATGGTGCATTTGTTTAGAACAGAAAGCAACATAACCCAATATCACTCCTCTCAAAGAGGCCTACTGAAAATCTGAAGTTAATAAAAGACAAAAATTTCGGCATTTCACCTGTAGGTTGTCCTTAGACTTTGTCTCTTATTGAGTTACTACTTTGCTTTAAAGGTTTAGCTTTTAAAAGAGGGTATATAGATTTGTTCTGAACTTTCCAAGTTATCAGGCCACTTCAATGCAGGCAATCAGCCAAGCACGTAGAAATTTTGAAAGACAAAATTTGAAAAAATGCCTTTCACGTGCACTGGTGCTAAATCATATCGCAACTGTATCTGAAGATTTAAAGAGATCAGGATATGAAGAGATCCAATTCAATGTATTCAAATGCACCAATCACCTCTATGAAAATTACATTTCTAAAAAAATCGTGGACCATAACCAGAGTTCTAACTATTTTCTACACGTTTCACGAGAATATTACCTCAGCCACAACACAATAAAACTGTGTCTTATTCCCAATACATTTTTGGGTTTGCTCATGAATATCCAATGCAAACAAATCCTTTGCAACCACACTAGGTTTGTTAACTTGGCCGACCTCTCTTCCAACATATTCTTCCAAGATTACATCAGTTGCATGAATGAAAGCTTCTTTATGTATGTGCAAGACATGTCTCAACCATCTAGGTTCTCTTCCCTTTAATCTATTCTTCCATCAGTGCATGTCCAGTTGCTAGCACATTCTCGATTTGTAGCTCATTTATGTTAATGAGGTTAAATAAGATTACGAAGATTTTGACGTATATATTATCATTATAATTGTATTATATATGTAGATAGATTGTTTTTACCATATTTAAATTATAGGTTACCATTAATTAATATTATAATTGATTGCTTATTGAGTATATTTGATATAGTATCAGATTCAATTCCTTAGAATTTTTTTTCTCGATTTCTTGGTTGGGCTTTCTCGCAGCGGCCAGTCTTCTTGGTTTTGTGTTCTTGATTTTCAGGTACATAATTCTTCTTGGGCTATTCATAGTCCATTCAGCCCAAAGTAACCATTAGAGTCTGTGGCTCCTTTTAAACCAGCAGCAAGTTTCAATTCCGACAAGATTTTGTTAACATCTCCCTTTGTTTTTTTTTCTTTTTTTTTTTTAACATTGTTGTCTGTTCAACACATCCTGTTGGATTCCATGGAACCCATATCATTATCTCTTTTACATCTTGGTGCGTGTGAGCTTCTCTTACGTTCTAACCCAAGTACAATGCCTCGTTGTGTCCTGAACAAACATCCAATTTTCTTCTCAAGTAAGAAGCCATTGAGAAAGAGACGAGAGGTAAAATTTACTGCATTTGGAATCTGCGTCGTTGTTTGAGGGGTAAAATTTTGCTGGAATCAATTCAACTAAGTGGTCAAAGAATTGTCTATGGAATCGGATTACTCATTTCAGGTTAATGGTTGGCATAGGCATGGAGGAAAAGATTGTAATCTTCTGCATCTTCATTGTGCATTGTTTATTTTTTAAAGGTAATGGGCTTTATTAGTTTGTGTTTTGGGCTGTTTGTTTTGGTTAATTTTGTGAGTTTTATCATAGTTGGGCTGCTTTAGGATGCATTACTTGGCCAGCTTTTGGACTGCTTTATTATCATAATTCTGGTGATTGTTGGGCTGCATTATCTAGACTGATTTATTAGTTTTAACTCTGGTTAATTTGTTGATTAATTTTATTGTGGGCTGAAATTTCTTCCTCGGCATTACGCTAAAATTTGGGAGAAATATTCATCACCTCTACTCAGCTTCTTCATCAACAAACTTTGAAGACAATGACATGAAGAATAACTAAAAGTTTGAAGGTGAGTGAAGACATGGGAGTGCAGACCATTAACTTTTGGTTGCTCAGGTGATGAGCTAGAATTTTGAATTCTCAAAAGAGGATCATCCTTAGGTAGTTTCGGATTCTCAGATGGAGATAATCATTGGGTTTTTTGGTGTAGGCTATTTTGTGGGATTTCTTCCAACTTCAGCATCTTGGCTAGCGATATATTGTTGGATTTTTAGCTGGTGCATTGGCCGTAAAGCTTTTGTCGAAACACGAATTATGTGTTCGACGGAGATCTCCCAACAAATAGAGCTCACTCTGTGTAAAATTCTTCTTGGGGTGTAAGCTCTCTGGAGTGGCTTTGGAGTGTTATTAAAATGGTTTTGGAGTAGTTCTTAGCTGTTTTTGCACTATTTGTTGTTATTGGTCTCTCTTCGTCACTATTTTCAGTAGATGGTTGCGGAACAATACTCTTACCGATCTATTAACAACAAGTAAATCCACGCCAGGAGAATTAGTTTAAATAAATCCTTCTTGGATGAAACCATAGCGAAAAATAACATTTTTGTGATTTAGATCTCTTCTTCGTGGGTATAAGTATTGTCACCATCGCCAATTCATGATTGCAAATTAATACTTTTACCAACATCAATTTGAGGGAATATTAATGAAGTTAAATAAGATTACGGAAACCATCAATGATTACGACTTGATGTCTATATTATCATTATAATTGTATTATATATAGATAGATTGTTTTTACCATATTTAAATTATAGGTTACCATTAGTTAATGTTGTAATTGATTGCTATCATGTTTAGTGGTGATTTTGATTCTATATAATTAGAGAACCTCTTACATTGAGGAGCATCAAGTTTTATTGAGTATATTTGACAATTTGTTATATTATAGACACGCATCCATCTTTACATCCTCATTTCCACTACAATCATGTTATTGATATATTGTCCTTTTGAAAACCCTACAATCGATACTATTAAGCATGGAAGATATTAAATTTTCTGGAAACTTGATTTTTAACTTAAGAGGATTCTCCTATCACATAGAATCCCTAAAGCACTTCTTCATTTCATCCAACGAGATCTAATTTGTGAATCCAATATATTCAGCATCGAGTTCAACCTTGTAAATATTGGATCCTAAATATATATTTCAATAAGTTTTTAGGTCTAATATAACTATGTCCTTAATGAATAACATGCACGAAAACCTCATCTTGCCTCGTAAGCTCCTCCATGACTAAAGAGGTAAAAACAATGACTTAAAGGAAAACCTTGACGCAATTGTATGGTGATCAAGATGTTTCTACTCCTACTACATCTCATATTCATGGTTACTCTATATTTCACATCCTTAATAACCGGCATATCAAATAATTTTCTTGCGAACACCCCATAGAACTTCTTAGGACACCCTATCATAGATTCTTTTCTAAATTAACAAAACTTTTTGCAAATCTTGTTTATTTCCTATATACCTCTCCATCAATCTCCTAAGCATGCAAATGGTCTCTTTAGTAGGCATAATTTCAAAGTGGTTATTTCGAGACCTCAGGTTACATCCCAATTTGTCCTCCTTTTACTCTTCAAAAATCTCATTCAATGCTTTTGTCAAACATAAAATATTCACCTCACCGGACACTTCCATACTTGAGAATTCCATAAGCACTAATTACTTTTCTCATACTCACCCTCTTCATAGCCTTGTTTGGTCTTGAAACCTAAACTATTAAGTATGATGCACATTCTTATCTGCTGCAGAGTTTAACAAATTACAATCCTTCAATCAAATTATTTTTCAAAGAAATTCCTCCATATTATTCAATCATCTCATTTCTCTTCAGCAAATTCTTTGATTTTCATTTTTAATACAGTGGTTTAGATCTCTACTTCGTGCTCCCTTTGGCGAGATACCAATTACCTATTCAATAATTTCTCATCATTGTTGGAACCAAAATAACTATAAAATTTAACAATAAAAATTTCTCATATACTACAGCATAAGAGTCCTAAATTATCCTCTTAGCTTCAAGCATAGTTGACTTAATATATTCAAAGGCCTCGGCATTTTAATGTTTTAGCAAGTTTTAATAAAGTTCTATTTTAGTCTGATATGTTACTAAACCTTCTTGATCCACCACCATATATTAGGTGATTACTGCCTTTAAACTATATTAATACCGCATCACTACTTTCAAATGTGTCTAGCACCTTATTCTATATTGTGTTACAACCTCTTTATATATCTCTTCTACCTTCCTTCTTTCCTTCTGAACCCTATCCTCAAAAATACGCTTGTTTTCTCCCCACAGATATCAGCATCTTCGTTCAATGAAATCGAAGCTCCTTGGTACTACTTTATCTTTCTTAAAAACTGCCTCGAGCACTGCTAACTTTGTAGTCAAAGTCTGACGAGAAATTACATTATAATCCTTGTCCAAAGATCTAATCACCCTCCTAGTAAGGATAAATCCTCTTTGACTAACTTGAGTCCAATTTTAAAAGTCATAAGGTTGGAGTCTCTCTTTTTGAAGCATATATTTGCAAGCAAATCATAAGCCAAAAAAATAGCATTAACTACTACATTCAAAGACAACAAATCCTTGTGCTCTTTGTATCCTAAATTACCTCTCTACATGAAAGTTCAAATCCACCACCCCAGATAAAGATCCTAAATTGACTGGGCGTTTGCCTGAATCAATTCTTCCATGTCTTCCCAATATATTTTCTTTGTTGTCTTAACTAGTCTTGTTTCTAGAGCATATGGCCTAATAATACTTCTTCAAAGAAGCGTAAGTAATATGATCATACGACACCTCATTTGACAATAACACAGAATTTAAAGTCATGATAGAATCAACAGATTCTCCAATAATCCTAAGTTCGAGGTAATTGTATGATCAAGAAGACGATTCACAGCTGAACCACTGCATTGCACTCACAAATCAACACAAGCAAATAAATTAACAGAAACATATAGATGAAGTTAAAAGTACATTTCGCACATACCCATTATTCGATGGGCTAGTTCCTTCAAATCCTGGGATCAGATCATCAGATCGTGGCCCATTTTCCTCCTTTTTTCCCTTCAAACCACTTGATTTCGTCCCAAAATTCCCTAATAAATCATCAACAGAATTCCTTCCTTTTGGCGCTGACCACAACAAGTCATCATGCCCATTGGAACCGAATGAATTCTTATCATTTGAAGAATTACTCGAACTCTTAAACACGGAATCCAAGTCAATGCCCTCAGATTGATTTGTACTCGAAAAGTGCTCGCCGAAAATATAATCATCATCAAAATAATCGTGAGATTTTCGGTTGCTGATATTAACATTGGATCTGAAAATCCCATCAAGATCATCAACAACAAAAGAGGAATCATTAGATGTTGTTGAATGGGTACCTAAGCTTTGAGGGAACCCATTGCTGCTGCTGAAATTGGGTTTCGACTTCAATTTGGCCATGGGAGCTGATTTCCCTTGGGCTTTGAATCCAATACTCTCAACCAAACCTCCAAATTCATCCATTGTTCAACTGGTTTTGTAATAATACTATCAAACAACCTATGAAAGAAGAAATGCTTGAAAAGAAAAATACAGAAAAGTGGAAATGCCCTTGAAATTGTATGTATGTGTACTTTTGGTGGAGGAGATATGAGCGGAAAAAATGGAGATCTATTTACAAACTAACGGATGAAAATAGAGAGATTATATGATGAATTACTAAATGGATAAATGGAGTTTACTTGTTTTGGTGGGTATTTTTGGGACTGCTAAATCCTCTCCCCTTTCCGTGTGTCGGTACAGCAAGGCATGGAAAGATTCCTAGAGGAGAGAGAGAGAGAGAGAGAGATGTCAATGATTTGGGTAAATGAAGGTGGAGGCCAGATGAGGTGGTCCGGCTGATTCAAGCTGGCGGGATGGGGTTGGGACTCGGTGACGTGCCTTCAAGGCTTCAACCTTCAAGGTACTACACCGTTTGGCTCTCCCATTAGATTAATTTCTATTTTTCGCTCTTCTATTTTCAATCACACAATCTTCCATAAAATAATTTTATACATAAATGAAATTTTTTTCTTCTTTTTTAATCACTCATTCTTCAAAAAAAATATTATTTCACTCATTAAAATTAAAAATAACTTGCCTTTGTAAGAGATTTTGATTCTTTAAAAAATGGGATCTAGCTTGTCTAATTCGGGTAAGTTCAAGAGCTGCCATATCATAATAGGTGCATCGTGTCAAGTTAGCCGATCAAACTCGATGATCCATAATTGTCAGCCTAATCATTCCGATGGGTTTGAGTTGGCTTATCATAGTAGACTAATTGTGTCATAACAATCAACCTAGTCACTTGAGAAATTAGATCAGCTCAACACGGTTAAAATAAAAGTTCTATCTTGAATTTCAACCCTACGAAATTTATAGAAAAATAAAAATAAGAACAATAGGTTCATCGGCTCATCATGCAATATTGGCGAGTGTATGGACCTGTACGATACAGACTAAGTTTAGACACTTAAGCTTAATCAAATATTATTTTTTGTTGTTTTGTTTTTTATTCATCATAATATCTTGAGGACTTATATGGCAAGAATTAAAATTAAAAATGCTTGTATTAATTTGGATTTAACAACAAGGCACACACATTCGAAGGAATATGGAAGAGTTTACCTCAAACATAGATAAAAGCCAAAAGACCATCAAGTTGCTTTGCTTGGTCAAGATCGTACAATTTTAAAAGATGCTTGATTCGGCATTAGACTGTTTGACACACTAAGCTATGTTTGGTAAGGAATCAAATGTGCATTTTAATCAAAATTATATTTAATAATTAATTTTAACCACATATTTAATAAAATCGACAAACTTTTCAACTCTATTCATTTCATTAACTTTTATCAAAATCTATTAAAAACTTAAATTTAATCTCCACCAAACAGGAGCTAATAATATATATAACACAAATGGTACGACTCAAAAAGGTGGTTGAAACTTGAAACATAATAATCTAATAGATATGATACATTCTATAGTGTATGATACAAATGTTAGGACAACGTAAAATCTAATTCTATATTCGATCATTCTCTACCTTCGATACCGCTCATTGACCGTCATTATATTGCAAATTTTTCGGTTTTTCCAAGTTTGCTCATTTGACATATGATGTCCAAGGAAAACCAATGTCAACATGTGCAAATTATCTACGAGTGGTTCCGAGAGAGCTTTATCACTTTGGAGAAAATTGAAGCCAAGAAATAAATTCAAATTATGCTAACCGCACATCATATAGGATTTTTGTGTTGCAAAAGAAAAAGGGCACAGAACAGAACTTGTCTAAGAATCTAGAACTTGTGCCGGATTCATTTACCAAACATGACTAACACCGAAATTATAAGGAATTTAATGTTTGTACACAAAGCTTGACAGGTTGGTGACGATGGCCCCCTTTAATGATTTGGAGCATGTTGTATTGATGAAATTTTTTTACCTTGTAAGTTCCAATCCCATCCCACTATTAGAGAATTTTGTGAGAAACCAACTTCTAAAATTGGTTGTGATTTCTGATCTTTAGTGTCTCAGTTGAATTTTATCTATGCTTACGTAATTAATTTTGTAAATTTTGAGGCTCCGGGACTATATTAGTGATGCTTTACACCCAAAAATGAATAACTTTAATATTTATTAACAAGTTGTCATAAACCGACCAACCCAACCCAACCCAACCCGACCGATACTTGATTGGGTTGGGTTGGGTTGGGTTTCAAACTTTACACGGGTTGGGTTGGGTTAAATTTTGACCAAACCGATCATGTTGGGTTGGGTTAGGGTTGGGGCGAAAACCGACCCAACCCAACCCACGCCCACCCCTACTTGCCTCACGTTAGATTGTTGTATTTCAGAGGTTAGTACAAGTTAATATTTGTAATTTGAACTTTCTATAAATCATGAGCTAAGGTTATAAATTGATAAATCAAAGCATTTATTCTTTGCAATTCGAATTTTTTATTTTCTTGCAATATTTACAAACTTAAGTGAATTTTAATTTTTTTATAACGTGTGACAATTGAACTTGATATATTCATAGCTTGCAATGTGGTGTAACTTTTTAGTTATTTTGAATTCGTGATTCTCTTTTGAAATATAATTTTTCTTTTTTATTTAAATAAAACGAGTTCAATATATGGACTGCATTTTCTTAATACTATATAGTTATACATCTAATTGGTATTTTTTTTAGGTCAATTCGTTTTAAGATTACAAAATTTTAAGCATTATCAATCATTAAATTACAGGCTCTAGCTTTCCTCACGTATGAACCAAATAAGAATTAAGAAAAAATCATTGTTCTCAAACTGTAATGTACTTGCTAGTGTTTTAATGTTCTCATCTTATCTCAGTATTTAGTCCCCACTATCTTCAGTCATCTTGCTAAATTTCTTAGCGTCTTAAAGAAACTTTAGCTGGATTTTCTTCCTTACACAAATATTGTCAAGTATTAGCGTATTGGGTATACAAATCGAAAGGATCTATATAAAAATATTTATTATATATATTACAAATGGAACCAAACCGACGATTCGAGTTTGGGTTTGGTTTTAGTAACTATAAGGACTCGAATAATTTCATTTACTAATGAGGGATTCCTGGCCAACCCACTCGATGCCCAGACCTAGGTATTCAATTCGATTTGATCCGATTATCTTCAAAACCAGATTGAAATGGACCTTGCCCACCTTAGGTTCAAGCATTATCCACTTTAAAGTGTCCAAATAACATAACTTATTAAAGAGAAGAGGTTCATTTATCACATAAGAAAATACAATAGGAATAAAAACATTTGTACCTATTCAAATTGACCAACAGCACATTTCCTGGCGTTTTTAAAAGCAAATCCTTCAACTAAAACGTGCACTTTTGACCACGGCAGCCAATATTGATGCTGACTGTAATATTTCCAAATCAAAATCTTTTAAAACTACATAAACATGAAAACCCACAAATTTTCTTGAAAAATTAACAAAGAAAAACATTATGGGCAAATCTCAGTTTCTCCCTTTTATTCTTATGTTCTTCTATTTATTCATTCATTCTGCAAATTCTTCATGCCCCATTGATTTCAATTATGTTGAAACCTTCCCATGGGACACGAGCCTTTGCCATGAGCCTGTTCAAACCAGTTGCTGCCAAACTCTTCGCAGCGTCTTTGGCATGGGACTTGCCCAATACCTCAAAGAAAGCTCAATGTTCTATCTCCCAACCGAGAACTCTTCGTCTTCTTGCATTGCCAACTTCCAAGAAAAGCTGTCTAATGTATCCATGTCTCGGCCTTTTTTCAGTTCATGCTTTAATGATACAAAAGAGTTTGTTAATGGGCCTTCAAATTGTGCTGGAATTACAACTACACAAGATTGGATCGAAAAGGTTGGATCATCAAGTCTGCTGGATTCATCTTGTAATGAAGACTTGACAGGATTGACTCGTTGTAGTTTGTGTTTAGATGCAGGAATGCAAATGACTTCATTCCTAGTTTCATTAGATCGCAATTCCTCCAAATGCTTCTACTTCACTATTTTCTATGCTGCTGCTGTTGTCAATGATTTTGGGCCAGATTCCAACTTCAGCATCTTGGCTAGCGATATATTGTTGGATTTTTAGCTGGTGCATTGGCCGTAAAGCTTTTGTCGAAACACGAATTATGTGTTCGACGGAGATCTCCCAACAAATAGAGCTCACTCTGTGTAAAATTCTTCTTGGGGTGTAAGCTCTCTGGAGTGGCTTTGGAGTGTTATTAAAATGGTTTTGGAGTAGTTCTTAGCTGTTTTTGCACTATTTGTTGTTATTGGTCTCTCTTCGTCACTATTTTCAGTAGATGGTTGCGGAACAATACTCTTACCGATCTATTAACAACAAGTAAATCCACGCCAGGAGAATTAGTTTAAATAAATCCTTCTTGGATGAAACCATAGCGAAAAATAACATTTTTGTGATTTAGATCTCTTCTTCGTGGGTATAAGTATTGTCACCATCGCCAATTCATGATTGCAAATTAATACTTTTACCAACATCAATTTGAGGGAATATTAATGAAGTTAAATAAGATTACGGAAACCATCAATGATTACGACTTGATGTCTATATTATCATTATAATTGTATTATATATAGATAGATTGTTTTTACCATATTTAAATTATAGGTTACCATTAGTTAATGTTGTAATTGATTGCTATCATGTTTAGTGGTGATTTTGATTCTATATAATTAGAGAACCTCTTACATTGAGGAGCATCAAGTTTTATTGAGTATATTTGACAATTTGTTATATTATAGACACGCATCCATCTTTACATCCTCATTTCCACTACAATCATGTTATTGATATATTGTCCTTTTGAAAACCCTACAATCGATACTATTAAGCATGGAAGATATTAAATTTTCTGGAAACTTGATTTTTAACTTAAGAGGATTCTCCTATCACATAGAATCCCTAAAGCACTTCTTCATTTCATCCAACGAGATCTAATTTGTGAATCCAATATATTCAGCATCGAGTTCAACCTTGTAAATATTGGATCCTAAATATATATTTCAATAAGTTTTTAGGTCTAATATAACTATGTCCTTAATGAATAACATGCACGAAAACCTCATCTTGCCTCGTAAGCTCCTCCATGACTAAAGAGGTAAAAACAATGACTTAAAGGAAAACCTTGACGCAATTGTATGGTGATAAAGATGTTTCTACTCCTACTACATCTCATATTCATGGTTACTCTATATTTCACATCCTTAATAACCGGCATATCAAATAATTTTCTTGCGAACACCCCATAGAACTTCTTAGGACACCCTATCATAGATTCTTTTCTAAATTAACAAAACTTTTTGCAAATCTTGTTTATTTCCTATATACCTCTCCATCAATCTCCTAAGCATGCAAA